AAAAAAAAAATAAAAGCAGCTGAGGTTGATGTTCCACTTGAGACTGCGGAGCATTACAGCTTAAGTGGGAAGGCGTAGTAGATCATCTCGCCACTGCATGTACTTCCTCTAAGGTAACTTCCTTGGGCTGCATATTTGACATCTTCATTTGAATACCTCACACCATCTCTATAATTTGTTTCTAATGGAATTTTAATTTTTTTATTTTTTATTATTGTTTCTCTTTTTAGTCTTTTCCATTTTAGCAATGAGACTATTTTTTCAGGTACCCAAGTGGGAAATCTTAGTGTTATTCTTGATTTCACTTCTCTATTTGGCCTTGATTTTCTCTCCCTCTCTAGTTTGTGCACAAGTCTTACTGGTATCTCCAATTTGTATACTTCTTTATCCCCTTTGTACACCATTAATAATTCAAGTTCTTCGTATCTTGCTTCTGTTATCGGCATGCTCCAGTCTGTTGTTCACATTGCCTCCAGAATAGCATTTTAAAAACAGATTGGGCACACCGCTTTCTTGTGGCTTTTCAGAGGCTTCTCTTTTTACTTGAATATGTTGTGCTAGGGAAAAAGAACTGCTGCTCTGCTGTAGGCAGGCATTTCACTAGGTCCATAAACTCCATATCGGTAAGACATTAAAAACAGAGAGTTTAAGGAAAGGAAGACATTTTATTGGAGACACTATTGGAAAAAGGGGAAAAGGAGGGGTTGGATAATTACCCTGGTAAATCAGGATAGAGGCTCCAGAAAGATGGTTCTTTGTTCCCAGCTGCTTTTATAGTTCAAGGGCTTTTCCTCCAACCTGGAATTTGTCACAGTCTGATTAGTTCCTTGGGATGTCATAGTTGGATCGCAGCCACCCAAGCCACTAATCCCCTGTGCCGTCTTTGTGTACACTTTTTCTGGGGAAGGGGGGGTTAAGATGGGGGGGATCTCACCATGTAGCCCAGGCTGACCTTGAACTCATGACAGTTCTCTTGCCTGAGCCTCCTGAGTGCTGGGATTACAGGTGTGCACCACCATGCCTGGCATATGTGCACATTTTTACTTTCTTTTTTTTTTTTTTTGACTGAATTGGGGATTGAACTCAGGCCCTTGCACTTGCCAGGCAAGTGCTTATTCTACTGAGCAATCTCCCTGGCCCAGTGTGCACATTTTTAAAGTGAATTTAATTTGATTTTCTTTGTCCTGTCAGGCTCTTTTTTGAAATGTTTGTTAAAAGGACTTTACATACAAAGTCAGGTAGCAATTAGGTAAAACGAAACATAGTAAGAGACTATATCTATCCAGGTGTGAGTATATATTTTGTACTGAGTTTGCTGTTATGTGGCCCCCCTTCCCTTTTGTCTCCTTTGTATTTTACTACACAGTGGGGAAGAGCAGCTGACTTTAGCTGGGGCACTGGCAGAGCCATGCTGCTAATCTTCTTTTCTGAGTTCTCTCTAGCAAGGGTTTAACTCTTTCTAGTTGGGATTTGCCAGATAGCTTACTGAGTCTACTGTTAGCTCCCTGTCTGTTTGTCTATTTTCTTCCCCTACAAATACAAACCATCTCACTTTCCTGATTCTTCCATTGCTTGTCTTTTGCCTACTTTGACCCTGTCATTTTGTTCTACCCTGTTCATACTCCAGTTACATTTGCTTCCTTATAGCTTTGAACCCGATTGTGCATAAGACATTAAAGACAGAGAGTTTAAGGAAAGGAAGACATTTAACCAGCATTGCATATGCTGGTTAA